TTTCCCCCTCGGCAGCCTTTGTCTCTTTCCTTTTTCCCCTCAGCAGCCTCAGGCTGTTTGGAATGGTGGGAGTCGAAGTCCAAACCTGGAGGAAAGTTGGCCCATGCCTGATCTAGTCCAACACTAGCTTCTCTGTCCCCCTGCAGTTCATCCAGAGCTGGTCCGGCTGGAGGCACACCACAGCGAGAACCCGGGACTCCTTCTGGTGCTGCTAGTACTAGTTGAGGCTCACCCGCCGGCCCAAATCACCTGGGTGGACCCCGATGGGCAGACCTCCGTCAACACCTCCCACTTCCTCATCGTGGAGGCCAAGACCTTCCCCTGGCCCAACGATGCTGACGACGGCCGCGGCCTCCGTCTCCAGTTGCGCGGCCTGGTGGGCAACCGCTCCCTCTGGGCAGAGGAAGAGCCCGGCACCGTCGCCAACGCCTCCGTCCTGCAGACCGGTAAGGACGAAGAAGAGGAGACCCACCCTTTGATTATGACTATTCCCCAGCCAAGCTTTGGGGCCTCTGTGGACCTCCAGGTGCCCCCAAGGAAGCCTCTCCAGGGGCAGACACTTGCTTGACGACAAGAGCTGAGCTCCTGGTGCAACCCTGTTTCAGCTACTGACCGCTTGCTACCTTTTGAGCCCCTCTGGCCCATGTCTCTGCTTCTTCCCCAGGTCTGCTGGACCTGCGGATCGAGCTGCCCCTCCTGGCGCTGGTGGTGGGGTCCGCCTTGGCCCTGGGGGCCTTCCTGTGCCTGGGGGCGCTGCTCAGCTGCCTGCTCTGCCGCAAAGGAAAGAAGGAGGCAGGTGAGGGAGGGAGGGACTAAATGATTGGGGGGCCCTGCCTGCTACCCGGCTGGCCTGACACAGCCCGCTTCCTCCTCTTTCCGCCCTCTAGGACTCTCCCTCCCAGCGGTCGCTCCATTACCTTCCAGGTAACCTTCTCAGCCGTGGTGGCTTAGTTTGCAGCTGAGGAGCACTCTCTACCTGCTGTCCTCTTGGGGCGCCTGGGTACTGACTGGATCTCCAAGCAGAACTGCGCAAGAGAGGGGTGGTGGGCAGGGGACCCCTTTATGCAAGGGACACTTGCACATGCCCCATAACCCCTTGCCATGGCTTATGGCCACTGCTCTTTCCGCACAGCGGCTCCAACAACTGCAAGCCCCAGATTCCCCGGATGCCGCGGGCGAACGTCTCTCTCCCGGCCAACCTGCAGCTGAACGACCTCACAGCCGGGAGGGCAGGTGAGTGGGGAGGTCTGCTCTGGGGCAGGCATGGGGGCGCAGACCATACTCTACCTCACCCCTCTTTCTCTCCATAGGTGAAGCCCCCCTGGAGGAGGAGGAGCGGGCCGTCTCGGAGCCAGAGAACCGCCTGGTCCTGTTGGAGAGGGGTGAGGGGGTCACAATGGCGGGTGGCTTTGGTAGCACAGTGTGGGAAAAGCTGGCCCACTGGGGGCCTTCTTCCCGGCACTGCATGCTGCAAGATGTGGTGCCACATTGGGAAATGGGTTGGTGGGAATTTGGGTATAGTTCGGACGTGGCCTTAATCTCCAGGTGAAGGTGGCTCCTCTTTCTAAGGAGCCAGAGAACCGCCTGGTCCTGCTGGAGAGAGGTGAGGGGATCACAGGGGGGGGGGCTTCAATAGCGCAGTGTGGGAAAAGCTGGCCCATTGGGGGCCTTCTTCTCGGTTGGCATGCATGCTGCAAGATATGGTGCCACACTGGGAAATGGGTTGGCGCGAGTTTGGGTATAGTTTGGACGTGGCCTTATTCGCCATGTGAAGGTGGCCCCTCTTTCAAAGGAAGGATGATCATTTTCTAGAGATGGGAGCTCTCCATTGAGTCTTGGGGGAGTGTATGGGAATTGGGAAGAGGGCACCCTCCTCTCTGCAAGGACTCTCCCCCATGCTGAGGGGAGAGGGGGGTGCCTGGACCCCTCTTTGTGCCAAAGGCAGGGGTCCCGGAACCTCCTGTTCTGCCGGCAACTTGACCCTGCTCCTCTTTCTAAGGAAGGATGAACGTTTTCTAGAGATGGGAGCTCTCCATTGAGTCTTGGGGGAGTGTATGGGAATTGGGAAGAGGGCACCCTCCTCTCTGCAAGGACTCTCCCCCATGCTGAGGGGAGAGGGGGGTGCCTGGACCCCTCTTTGTGCCAAAGGCAGGGGTCCCGGAACCTCCTGTTCTGCCGGCAACTTGACCCTGCTCCTCTTTCTAAGGAAGGATGAACGTTTTCTAGAGATGGGAGCTCTCCATTGAGTCTTGGGGGAGTGTATGGGAATTGGGAAGAGGGCACCCTCCTCTCTGCAAGGACTCTCCCCCATGCTGAGGGGAGAGGGGGGTGTCTGGACCCCTCTTTGTGCCAAAGGCAGGGGTCCCGGAACCTCCCATTCTGCCGGCAACTTGACCCTGCTCCTCTTTCTAAGGAAAGATGATTGTTTTCTAGTAGGCTTGGGTAACAACGGAAAATTTGTTTCTAAACTCGTTTCATTTTTAGGGGGTCCATTGCGTTTCGTTTTTTTAAAGAATTCCGAATTTTTCTTTTAAAAAAATTCGTTATTTACGAAATTTCGTAAATTTCGAATTGATTCGTTAATGGCGGACGCGATTGCGCAATATGCTAAAAAAAAACCTCCAAATGGGACAGGGGGAACTTCTGACGCTTCCCTCTCCCTCTGTTGTTGACTGTTGGTGTGATAAAACAAACAGCAACTATATTATATTATATTATATTATTATAACATTATTATGTTCTATATTATTATATTATATTATTGATATATATTATTATATAATATTATTATATTACATTATTGTATATTATATTAAATTATAATATATTACATTATATTATATTATATATTATTATATTATATTATTATAATATTATTATATTATATTATTGTATATTATATTATATTATTATAATATATTATATATATTATATTATATTATTATATATTATATTATATTATTATAATATTATTATATTATATATTATTATATTATATATATTATATTATATTATATATTATTATATTATAGTATTATAATAATATAATATATATATTATATTATTATAATATTATTATATATTATAATTGTATATTATATTATTACGAAATAATTACGAAATAATTACGAAAATTGGAAAAAATTGTTTCGATTCTTAATTACTCCTCCCACTATTCCTGCATGGCTCGATATTGGATCGTAAGCTAATTTAAATACGAATCAACAACGAATTACGAAATTAACGAACGAAACCGCCCAAGCCTATTTTCTAGAGATGGGAGCTCTCCATTGAGTCTTGGGGGAGTGTATGGGAACTGGGAAGAAGGCACCCTCCTCTCTGCAAGGACTCTCCCCCATGCTGGGGAGGAGGTGGTGCCTGGACCCCTCTTTGTGCCAAATGCAGGGGTCCCGGAACCTCCCGTTCTGCCGGCAATGTGACCCTGCTCCTCTGCCCTTGCAGGTTTGGGCCACTTCCCCATGGTGGGGTACATCTACCGAGCCTCCAGCATGAGCAGCGATGAGATCTGGCTCTGACTCCCATCCTTGCCGGCGGGTGCAAAGGACCCTCGAGGCTCAAGGCGTTGACCGGGGCGCCAAGAAGGTGCTCGTCCCTCCGGAGCAGGACATTGCAAAGGGCTCCAGGGAGTCGGGGCTGGGCTCCTGGGCGGGCAGGAAGGGCCGGGCCAGAGCTGCGGTGGGCTGTGGGTGAGGGCCACAACGGCAGCACCAGCACCTTGAATGTAGACCCCTTTCTTTCCCCCTCCGCATGGCTGCTTCTTCCCCTCCCTGGCCCCCTCTGCTGCTCATCCTCTGGCGCATGAGGATTTGCCCCCCCAATGAAGGGCTGTGGCCAAGTGCTGCCCCTTTGCTTCTATGCACATCCCGGGCTCTTGCTGAACAGGTGGGCTCCATCCCCGCTCCGGCCTGGGCAGGGCCAACGGTGAGAACCAGGATTCAACCAGATGTCTAATAGTGTTTATACATCACAATGAATAAATTATGTGGGCGACAGAAGGACCGCGAGTGTGCCGTGTTTGGTTGCATATCAACAGGCAAAGCCAGGCCGGGTTTCACTAGTCGCAACCTTTTGCAGCTTCGAGGAAAGAGAGACGTTATCGTCCCTAAGATGTGGAAAGTGGTTCTGGTTTCCCCCAAACACAGCCTTGACCCCTCAGGTGAGAAAGAACTGCAGCCAAGTTGGGTCGGTAACCCCCCCCCCCCTCGTTGTCCGAGCAAGATTGTCCTCCAAGTTCGGTGTCCAGGTGGTAGTTCCGTAGGTTACTGTGGAGCCCTATTCTTGACCCACATTTATTATTTATTATTTATTTGTATCATTTTTACCCCGCCCATATCAGCCCAAAGGCAACTCAAAGAGCCAAGTTTTCCATTTTTTTCGAAAGCTTAGGAGGGAGGAGGCCGATCTGATATCCCTGGGCAAGGAGTTCCACAGCTGAGGGGCCACCACATAGAAGGCCCCGCCTCTTGTCCCTGCCAGACATGCTTGTGAAGCAGGCGGGACTGAGAGCAGGGCCTCCTCCGACGATCTCAAATCCCTAATGGGTTCATAGGGAGAGATGCAATCGGATAGATAAGCTGGGCCGGAACCACATGTGGATATTGGTTTCCAGGTGGAAGGTTGTCCTGGTCAGAGTTGGCTTGGCACATTTCTCCCTTTCACCCTCCACTCGTGCCTCTTCATATTCTACAGCACTGCTAGTCACAGCTGACTTCCAGCTAGGGCCAGGGCTTCCCAGTTCTCAGTGTCTATGCCAGAGTTTTTAAGGCTGGCTTTGATCCCATCTTTAAATCTCTTTTCCTGCCCACCAACATTCCATTTTCCATTCTTGATTTTAGAGTAGAGCAACTACTTTGGGAGACAGTGGTCGGGCATCCGGACAACATGGCCAGTCCAGCGGAGTTGATGGCAGAGGACCATCGCTTCAATGCTGGTCTTTGCTTCTTCCACCACGCTGACATTTGTCCACTTGTCTTCTTCCCAAGAGATTTACAGGATTTTTCAGAGGCAACGCTGATGGAATCGTTCCAGGAGTTGCATGTGACGTCTGTAAACAGTCCATGTCTCGCAAGTGTATAGCAGGGTTGGGAGGACAATGGCTTTATAGACAAGCCCCTTGGTCTCCCTACGGATGTCCTGGTCCTCAAACACTCTCTGCTTCATTCGGAAGGATGCTGCACTCACAGAGCTCAGGTGGGGTCGTCTTTCAGGGTCAATGTTGACTTTTGTGGAGAGATGGCTGCCTCAGCAGGGTTGGGAGGACAATAGCTTTATAAACAAGCCCCTTGGTCTCCCTACGGATGTCCTGTTCCTCAAATACTCTCTGATGCTGCACTCGCACAGCTCAGGCAGTGATGTATTTCAGTGTTAATGTTGACTTTTGTGGAGAGGTGGCTGCCACAGCAGAGTTGAGAGGACAATGGCTTTATAAACAAGCCCCTTGGTCTCCCTACGGATGTCCCAGTCATCAAACACTCTCTGCTTCATTCGAAAGAATGCTGCACTTGTACTTGTATTTCAGTGTCAGTGTTGACTTTGGTGGAGAGGGGGCTGCCAAGGGAGCGGAAATGGCACACATTTTCTAATGTGACACCATTAAGCTGTATCTCTGGTATTGGAGAGGGATTCCCCCCCCCCCCCCGCCCCATTCAAGGACAAAGCAATACCAAAAGGAAAACTTTATTAAAACAGCCCCCTCCCCCAAAGGCCACGGAAAGCACACGAGATGCGGAATGTCTTCTAACCCCAAACCCAGATGTTCGAGGCCTTGAAGTGAGACCCCCTCCCTTCCACCTGGTATCCTGGGCCTGCTGCACTCTGAGAATGGTTTCTCTGGTCGCTCTCCAAGCAAGTAAGCAAGGCCTCTTTCTTCCCCAGGTGTTTCCCTTCTCAGGTGAAGCTCAGGACGTCTGGCTCTCCAGCCTGGGAGGCTGGGTTGGAGGGAGGGCTGGCCGTCTTCTTGCCCTCCGCCAGGGCCTTGAAGTGCTAAAGGGAAGGAGGAGCAGGAAAGAGAGAGGGAGGTCCTCACCTAAGTGGATGATTTCCCGCTCCCCAAAAGCCCCCTGCCCCCCCCCCCCGCTTCTTTTAGGGTTGCCCCCCCTACCTGTGAATTCTTGAACTCCGAGTAGAGAGAGAAGAGCGTGTGCAAGGACTGGATGCGGCTCTTGTAGACGGGAATGTCCAGAACGGCTGAGGGAACAGGCAGGACAGGACGTTTTGAGTTGGGGGCAAGCCAAGGAAGATTAAGGTCAAGGTCTCCCCTGACAAGAAGTCTAGTCGGGCGTGAGCTGAAGAGCCGGCGTTGTCTGTAGACACCTCCAAGGTCAGGTGGCCAGCATGACTGCACGGAGCACGGTTACCTTCCCGCCAAGGCAGTATCTACTCACACTTAGATGTTTTCGAACTGCTAGGTTGGGAGAGGCTGGGGCTAACAGTGGGAGCTCATACTGCTCCCCAGATTGGAACTGCCGACCATTTGGTCAGCAAATTCTGCAGATTAGGATTTTAACCCACTGCGCCACCAAAGGCAGATTGGCTACTGGCTAACAGGGAAACAGGTTGGGCTGGCCATCAGGTTGGTGGGAAAGGGTGGGCTTTAGTACTCACCGCAGACCATGTCCGTGTATTCAGCGAGGCTGGCATCAATGTCTGCCGTGGGAAGGCTCACCTGGAGGGCAGAAAACGGAGACTCAGAGAGGGACACCAACTCCTCAGAGGTCAGGGCTGACAAACCCATTTTCAGGGGGCCCCCTTCAGTCTGATAGTTGCCCTCAAAGGACCGCTGGATCCATGGGCGGAGAATCCACGGAGACAGAGAAAAGGCCAACTCTCATTTTTTTTACATGGTGCTCTTTAGTTTTACCCAATGTTATTTGCCCCAGAATGACGACTCCCATCACTTTTGATAATAGGGATTGCAGGAGCCCTCAGTGGCCACTTGTGCCAGCAGGACTGCTGACCGAAAGGTAGGTGGTTCAAATCTGGGGAGTGAGGTGAGCTCCCGTCCGTCAGCACCAGCTTCCTATGCCTCCCAAGTTTCCTACAGGAGGCCGAGCCCACAGCACATCAATAATAAAAACAATAACAAGTAATACAAAACAATAAAAATAAAACACATAACAGAAAATAAGCAATAAACATTCACAGTAACACAACAACGTTTAAAAACCTATGACTGGGCCAAATGCAATAATTAAAATTTTAAAATAATGCTGAGCATGAACAGGTGAAATATGACTAGGATCGAGTTTTCGGAGAGGGATGGGGCGTGCAGACACTCCTAGATCAATAATAAAGTGCATTTAGAGGACATATTGCTGGGAGTTTCCTTATTCTGGGAAGGCACACTGGAACAACCATGTTTTCAGGCTCCTCCTAAAGACTGCCAGCGTTGGGGCATGCCTGATGTCCTTGGAGAGTGAGTTCCAGAGTCGAGGTGCCACCACCGAGAAGGCCCTGTCCCTCGTCCCCACCAATCGCGCCTGCGATGGAGGTGGGAGCGCGAGCAGGGCCTCTCCGGATGATTGAAGGGATCGTGTGGGTTCGTACACAGAAATGTGGTCACGCAGGTAGGAGGGTCCCAAACTGTTCAGGGCTTTGTAGATAAGAACCTGCACCTTGAATTGGGACCGGAAAGTGAACCCTTGTGGCTCTGAGGTTGGGAAAAGATGAAAGGCATTTGAAAGCCAGGCATCATATTCACGAGCCTTGTGTATTTTCCTGCGTGGTAGGGGGCTGGACTAGATGGCCTATGTGGTCTCCTCCAACTCTATCATTCTATGATCCCAAATCCAAGCCCCATTCTCCTGACTAAACAGAACAAAATGCAGCTTTCCAGGTGGCTCTGTATAACATTTCCCATCGGCTCGAATGATGAGGACTACAGGAGTCAAATGACATAGAGGGCTAGATTCAGCTCTCAGGCCTTGAGTTTCACATATATGCTTAAGTTATGTGCAAATGTGCCTCCCGAGGAGTCAAGTTGGAAGGATGTGTGGCCGTACCTTTCCCAGCAACTCTTCAAACTCAGGGGGCCACTCCTGCATCAGCGTCTCAATGTCCGGCATGGGCCTGGAAGGGAGAAAGAAGCACGGCGACTGAGTCCCAAAGGCCCTGCGGGAGGCCTCGCTCCAGGTCCAGGTGGGGGGCTGCACCCCTCGTCCGTCCCCCCCTTGCCCACCTGGTGTAGTGGACAGTGGCGGGGGGCTTGCAGCGGTGGAGCTCACTGATGCTCTCAATCCAGTTGTCGATGGCCTTGGGGTTCTTCTCCGCGTTCTCAAGGCTCTTCACTTTGACCTGCTGCTAGAAACAGGCACTGGTCCCTATATCTGCTGTGATGCAATACGAAGCCTGCCTGCCCGCTTCCCCTGCTGTGCGGTGCCATCCCCAAACAGTCCCCTCCCTCCCTCCCTCTTTGCCCGGCTTACAGCCACGTTGTGCTGCTTGGAGTTCTCTGTCAGCCAGAGGGAGAGCACCGTGGGGTCGGACTGCTTCGTGGAGGGCTCATCCAGCACCAGCAGGCCCAGGTTGTCCGGCTTCCCGTCCGGGCGGGGGACCTGAAAGCAGCAGCCCACGGCAGAAATATTAAAAAGTAACTAGGCATTTTTAACTACAAAAATGTGAGTCAAGCACTGAAAGGGGTAAATGGAGGCACCGCTTCAGCAAGAGCTGCACTTCAAGGTAAGCAGGTGTGCCTGTAGCTTAGTAGCCCTCACTGTCAGCAAACCTTAGTCTGAGAGAGGCCTCAGTATGATAGGCCTCAGTTTAAGAGAGACCTCAGTCTGTGAGAGATCTGTGTGGAAGATGGACCTCAATGTGTTAGTAGGCCTCAGTGTGAGAAGGCCTCGGTGTTAGTTTGCCTCAGTGTGAGAGAGGTGTCTGTCTTAGGGAGCCCTCAGTGTGAGAAGGCATCAGTGGGAGAAAGGCCTCAGTGTGAGGTAGGCCTCTGTGTTAGAAAGGCCTCAGTATGAGAAGGCCTCAGTGTTAGTTTGCCTCAGTGTGAGAGAGGTGTCTGTGAGAAAGGCCTCAGTGTGAGGTAGGCCTCTGTGTCAGTAGGCCTCAGTTTGAGTAAGCCTCAGTGTTAGTTTGCCTCAGTGTGAGAGAGGCTTCAGTCTGAGAGAGCCGTCAGTGTGAGAAGACTTCAGTGGGAGAAAGGCCTCAGTGTGAGGTAGGCCTCTGTGTTAGTAGGTCTCAGTATGAGAAGGCCTCAGTGTTAGTTTGCCTCAGTGTGAGAGAGGTGTCTGTGTTAGAGAGCCCTCAGTGTGAGAAGGCATCAGTGGGAGAAGGGCCTCAGTGTGAGGTAGGCCTCTGTGTTAGAAAGGCCTCAGTATGAGAAGGCCTCAGTGTTAGTTTGCCTCAGTGGGAGAGAGGTGTCTGTCTGAGAGAGCCCTCAGTGTGAGGAGGCATCAGTGTGAGAAAGGCCTCTGTGTTAGAAAGGTCTTCAGTGTGAGAAGACCTGGTGTGAGAAGATTTGGTGAGAGGAAGCCCCAGGTTGAAGGTCATGTATGTGTCAATGTCCCCGACAAAAGTAATGAAAGAGACACTGTACTTTTAAGAAGGCATCAATGTCTCCGACAGCAGGGATGAAGTCAGGAATGAATGGCTTTAGCTTGTGCTCCAGGTCAATCATCTGTGCGGAATACCTGGGGAGGGAGAGGGCCCAGTGAGGAGGGGGCCCAGTGAGGAGGGGCCCCTAACAAGCACAATCCTCCCCTGCCTGTGCTCCTGCTCACCTCCGAATGTACTGGAAAAGCTCCTTGACCTCCAGCGAGACAGGTAGGTAGTCGTAGTCTGCGGAGTTGTAAGCCCTGAGGAAAGAGGTAGCCATGAGACAAGGGCCATGAAGCCCCTGGATATTGGGGGGGGGGGGGGGGGGGGGGGGGGGTGTGTGAAGAAGAGCCAAGCAAAAGCCACCTTCTGCACAAATCCATTGCTCTCTGCACGGAAAAAAACATTTCCAGACAGATCCTGGGATATAGGGCTTTAAATTAGATTATAGAGTATCCACTGTAAGATAATCTGGGATAAACCAAAAACTTGGGATCAGATCCTGAGATAGAGGGCCTGATGGCTGTCTGTCAGGACTTATATTGTGCCTTCCTTCCTGGTAGAGAGAAGGGGGGTTGGACTGGGTGGCCTTAGGGGTGTCTTGCTACTCTGGGATGTCGTCCTGCTTGGCAGAGATAAGGGAGTTAGATTGGCTGTCCTTGGGGGGGCCCTTTGTGCGGATGGTACCCCTCCAGAGGCGCCCCGTGCTCCTCATCCTCGTCGTCCTCATCCTCGGAGTCAGTCTCGGAGTCGTCCTCATCTTCGTCCTCCACCTCGTTCCCGCTGAAGCGGCGTTGGGGGCCCTTCTTCTCCTGCAGGGAGGAATAAAGAGGGAAGAAGAGGAGGGAGGCTCTGGGGTGAAACCTTCCCAACAGATTGTTGAATTACAAGCCTTGAAACATGTTTTCACCACAAACCACACTCTGCCCAGGTAATCCAATAAATAGCAGTTTATTAAAGAAGAGTATATAAATAAAAAATAAGAGAATAAAATTCAAAAGAGAGAATCCAAGTTCAAAAGGTTATTTCCAAGATAGCCAAGACTCTCTGGGCAGAAAATCCCACAATATCTGCTTTGAATTGAATATATGGCACTGTGGACTCAGATAACCCAGTTCAAAGCAGATATTGTGGGATTTTCTGCCTTGATATTCTGGGTTATAGGGTTGTGTGGAAGGTCCCCAAAATTCCCTCAAATAGAGTTTACAGAGTCAATCCACAGAGAAATCCATAAACAAGATAACATGAATCCAAAGCAGGCAACCTATGCCACACAGGAACTAGGAGCAAGAACAAACATGAATTCTAGGAACATAGGACCAAAAATGTAAACAAGAGCTGTTCACCTGATTAAAACTTTGCTCTCACAAAGGATTTTACCGCCAGGAACCACTTTAAAAGGTCTCCATCCCTCCCATGACATCATTAATCATGCACCTGCTCTCCCCCTCCATATCTCTAATTCTCTAGGAAAAGTGAATGTGTCTTTGTTGCATGCCCTGTCTCCACAATTCCAAGCTACTTGACCTGGACAAACCATCTTCCACATTTCTCTCAGCCTACACTTCTTGCACGGTCTCATGAGAACTGGTTTTGCTTTTTCCAGTCTCGTTGGAACTGCCACTTCTATTCTCCTCAGGGCCGGCCGAATCAAATTGTTACAAATTCAACATTTTTATTATGGTCCAAAGACTCTTATTGCACTGTAGGCATACAAAGTATGAAGGTAATGAGATTGAGAACATCCAGTTGATTGTACACATAAATGGATAAAATTTACAACAGTTAAAAACTACCAACAACAAACTTTATTACGGTCCGTGGACCCGCATCTGTTAAATAGATAACATACAGGAATTAACTGATCTCTCGTAACAGATACTATACAGGCACATACTACACATACTACACAGTGTCAAGTAATACCCTGATCACAGACTAGGCCCTTTCTCAACCTTGCTGCCATGCAAGGAACTTTGCCACCATCTGAATCCATCCCAGCATCCCCTTCCCTCATCTTTGAGCACCCAGAAGATGACCAGGCTACAACAGAGATGGCCATCCAGGACGGACCTTGCCTGCCACGTTGTGGACCTCCTCCTCATCATCGTCATCACTGCTGTCCGGGGCCAGGCCCTTGTGTGGGGGGCGAGCAGGGCGTGGGCCTAGAAACAGAAAGGGCCTCAAGTGAAGCTGAGGAAGGGGAAGGCCTTGAAACCTTTAGGACAGACCTGGGCCAACTCAGGCCACCCCTCCAGGTGTTTTGGACTCCGACTCCCACCATTCCTCAAAGCCTCAGGCCTTTTCCTTTTCTCCCCCAGCCTCCAGGTGTTTTGGACTCTGACTCCCACCATTCCTAAAAGCCTCAGGCCATTTCCTTTTCTCCCCTAGCCTCCAAATGTTTTGGACACCAACTCCCACCATTCCTAACAGCCTCAGTTTGCATGCTGCAAATCGCTTCTGGTCGCTTCTGGAGTGAGAGAATCAGCCGTCTCCGAAGAGGTTGCCCAGGGGACGCCCGGATGTCTTGCAATTCTGCGAGGAGGCTTCTCTAATGTCCCTCTTCATAGACCTGTCAGTGGCTTATGATACTGTCAACCACCGCCTCCTCCTGAGAAAAATGTATAGTATCACAAAGGACGACCGCCTCAAAGGAAACCTACTACAAAACAGGAGCTTTTTGTTGAGTTCCAGGGCCAGAAAAGCAGGTGGAGGAAACAGAAGAACGGCCTGCCTCAGGGGAGCGTGCTTGCCCCATCCACGTTCAACATTTACACAAATGACCAGCCACTGCCAGAAGGGACAGAGAGCTTCATCTATGCTGATGATCGTGCTATCACCGCTCAAGCAGGGAGCTTTGAGATGGTTGAACAGAAGCTCTTCGAAGCTCTAAGTGCTCTTACTGCCTATTACAGGAAAACCAGCTGATCCCTAATCCATCTAAAACACAGACATGCGCCTTTCACCTTAAGAACAGACAAGCATCCCGAGCTCTGAGGATTATTACCTGGGGAAAAAGGAATCCCACGGGAGCCTTGCAGCGCACCCAAATACCTGGGAGTCACTCTGGACCGTGCTCTGACCTACAAGAAGCACTGCCTGAACATCAAGCAAAACGTGGGCGCTAGAAACAATATCATACAATCAAAGAATCAAAGAGTTGGAAGAGACCTCCTGGGTCATCCAGTCCAACCCCATTCTGCCAAGAAGCAGGAATATTGCATTCAAATCACCCCTGACAGATGGCCATCCAGCCTCTGTTTAAAAGCTTCCAAAGGAGGAGCCTCCACCACACTCCTCGGGGCAGAGAGTTCCACTGCTGAACAGCTCTCACAGTCAGGAAGTTCTTCCTCATGTTCAGATGGAATCTCCTCTCTTGTAGTTTGAAGCCATTGTTCCGCGTCCTAGTCTCCAAGGACGCAGAAAACAAGCTTGCTCCCTCCTCCCTGTGGCTTCCTCTCACATATTTATACATGGCTATCATATCTCCTCTCAGCCTTCTCTTCTTCAGGCTAATGACTGGCACAACCTGGGGATCACAACCAGACACAGTGAAGACATCTGCCCTTGCGCTATGCTACTCTGCTGCTGAGTACGCATGCCCGGTGTGGAACACATCTCACCACACTAAAACAGTGGATGTGGCTCTTAATGAGACATGCCGCATTATCACGGGGTGTCTGCGTCCTACACCACTGGAGAAATTACACTGCTTATTTATTTATTTATTTACTTTGCTTGTATACCGCAGTTTCTCAGCCCGTAGGCGACTCAACGCAGTTCACAACAAGAGCAAAAAATCAATCGCACAACATACAATATTTAAAACCATTAACAGCCTAATATACAAAATAATGACACATCAATAACAACACATTAACGTCTCGTAACTAGAATCGTGACCCAATTCATCGTCTATAATTCCGTTCCTATATTCATCGTGTACATTGCACTGTTTATCCGAACGCCTGTTCAAACAGCCAGGTTTTTAGTTTCCTTCGAAACACCATTAACGAAGGGGCTGATCTAATGTCCATGGGAAGGGCGTTCCACAGCTGAGGGGCCACCACAGAGAAGTTCCTGTCCCTCGTCCCCGCCAGCCGTGCTTGTGACACTGCTTAACCGGTATTGCACCACCTGACATCCGCCGGGAAGTAGCAGCCAATAGTGAAAGGACCAAGGCAGAGACATCTCCAGCTCATCCTCTGTTTGGGTATCAGCCAGCACGTCAACGACTTAAATCTAGAAAGTTTTCTAAGATCTACAGAGACACTCACTGGAACACCTCAGCAAGCGAGAGTCCAAAAGTGGCAGGCTCAAACCCAGCCCTACACCACTGGAGAAATTACACTGCTTAGCCAGTATTGCACCACCTGACATCCACCGGGAAGTAGCAGCCAATAGTGAAAGGACCAAGGCAGTGACATCTCCAGCTCATCCCCTGTTTGGGTATCAGCCAGCACGTCAACGACTTAAATCAAGAAATAGTTTTCTAAGATCTACAGAGACACTTGCTGGAACACCTCAGCAACCGAGAGTCCAAAAGTGGCAGACTCAAGCCCATAATGCATTTACACTAGGCCTGGGCCAACTTGGGCCCTCCAGTGTTTTGGACTCCAACTCCCACCATTCCTAACAGCCTCAGGCCCCTTCCTTTTCCCCCCTCAGCCGCTTTTTCCCAGGGGGGGAAAAGGAAAGGGCCTGAGGCTGTTAGGAATGGTGGGAGTTGGAGTCCAAACCCCTTGGAGGGTAGGCCCAAGCCTGACTGCGGTGAGACCTGGCTGCGGTGGGCTGGGAGCGTAGATACTGGCCACATCCTCCGCCTCGTGCACTTCCAGGCTCTCATCGTAAGGCTGGTTCTCCACCAACCGCGTCTGCAACCCAGGCTCCGTCCCTGAAGCTTGACTAGGCCCAGACGCCGCCATAGCAACGCCTGCCTTCAAAAACACACTTCCCCGGAAGTGGCTCCGTTGCCAAGGAAGTGACGCCAGAGCTCTGCTGAGCGGAAGGGGCGGGGCTTTTGACACCTGCCTTCAAAACACAAAAAAAAGACTCCCCGGAAGTGGCTCCTTTGCCAAGGAAGTGACGCTAAGAGGAAGGGGCGTGGCCTGCGCTGTCTAACTGCGCGGTGACGCCACTTCCGCCTGGGTCGACGTGGCTCGGGGCCGCCATCTTCTGTGTGAGGAGGACGAAGCGGTTGCTCGAAGGGAAGGCGACGAGGGAGACGCCGACGCCATGGTGAGCCGGGGCGGCCTGCCAAGGCCTCTGGGAACCCCGCCTAACTCTTCCCCAGGCTTCTCTTCGGCCTAGGCCGGCGTTCAAGCCTTTTAGGGGAGTCACTGTGAGGAAATGGGCCTTGCAAGGCTTTGGACTCCATTTCCCAGAATCCCTGACCCTCTGGCAAGGCGGAGGAGGATTCTGGGAGTTGTAGTCCAACTCAAAGAGAAGCCTTTAGGATACAGTAGTGTTGCTGCTATTTTCTCCATTCCAGTGAGCGTTGCTTCTCTGCAGCTCCTGAGTAACTGTCATTGGGAAGTTGGGGTTCCATTCTGCACCAGTGTTTGGATTACAGGTCCCATGCTCCCCAAAATGGGACCTTCCAGGCCTCATTCAAAGGTCTGGCTTTAACCCTGAGGCCCCTTCCATACAGCTCTATAAAATCCACATTGAACTGGCTTTGTGGAAGGGCCCTGAGTCCACACTGCCATACAACCCAGGCCAAAGCAGATATTGTGGGATTTCCTGCCTGATATTCAGGGTTATATGGCTGTGCGGAAGGGCCCTGAGTCCACACTGCCATACAACCCAGGCCAAAGCAGATATTGTGGGATTTCCTGCCTGATATTCAGGGTTATATGGCTGTATGGAAGGGCCCTGAGTCCACACTGCCATACAACCCAGGCCAAAGCAGATATTGTGGGATTTCCTGCCTGATATTCAGGGTTATATGGCTGTATGGAAGGGCCCTGAGTCCACACTGCCATACAACCCAGGCCAAAGCAGATATTGTGGGATTTCCTGCCTGATATTCAGGGTTATATGGCTGTATGGAAGGGCCCTGAGTCCACACTGCCATAACCCAGGCCAAAGCAGATATTGTGGGATTTCCTGCCTGATATTCAGGGTTATATGGCTGTATGGAAGGGCCCTGAGTCCACACTGCCATACAACCCAGGCCAAAGCAGATATTGTGGGATTTCCTGCCTGATATTCAGGGTTATATGGCTGTATGGAAGGGCCCTGAGTCCACACTGCCATACAACCCAGGCCAAAGCAGATATTGTGGGATTTCCTGCCTGATATTCAGGGTTATATGGCTGTATGGAAGGGCCCTGAGTCCACACTGCCATACAACCCAGGCCAAAGCAGATATTGTGGGATTTCCTGCCTGATATTCAGGGTTATATGGCTGTATGGAAGGGCCCTGAGTCCACACTGCCATACAACCCAGGCCAAAGCAGATATTGTGGGATTTCCTGCCTGATATTCAGGGTTATATGGCTGTATGGAAGGGCCCTGAGTCCACACTGCCATACAACCCAGGCCAAAGCAGATATTGTGGGATTTCCTGCCTGATATTCAGGGTTATATGGCTGTATGGAAGGGCCCTGAGTCCACACTGCCATACAACCCAGGCCAAAGCAGATATTGTGGGATTTCCTGCCTGATATTCAGGGTTATATGGCTGTATGGAAGGGCCCTGAGTCCACACTGCCATACAACCCAGGCCAAAGCAGATATTGTGGGATTTCCTGCCTGATATTCAGGGTTATATGGCTGTATGGAAGGGCCCTGAGTCCACACTGCCCTATAACCCAGGCCAAAGCAGATATTGTGGGATTTCCTGTCTGATATCCCGGCTTATATGGCTGTGTGGAAGGGCCCTGAGTCCACACTGCCCTATAACCCAGGCCAAAGCAGATATTGTGGGATTTCCTGCCTGATATTCAGGGTTATGTGGCTGTATGGAAGGGCCCTGAGTCCACACTGCCATACAACCCAGGCCAAAGCAGATATTGTGGGATTTCCTGCCTGATATACTGTTCAGGTCCTGAACTGGTGCTTGGCTGCTGTAACAGACTGGATGAGGGACAACAGATTGAAACTAAATCCAGACAAGACAGAAGTACTCCTGGTCAGTCATAAGGCCGAACAGGGCATAGGGTGACAGCCTGTGTTGGACGGGGTTCCACTCCCCCTGAAGGCACAGGTTCACAGCTTGGGAGTGATCCTGGACTCATCGCAGACCCTGGAACCCCAGGTCTCGGTGGTGGTCAGGGGAGCTTTTGCACAATTAAAACTTGTGCTCCAGCTGCACCCATACCTTGGGAAGCCTGACTTGGCCACGGTGGTCTATGCTCTGGTTGCATCCTGTTTAGACTACTGCAACGCTCTCTACGTGGGGTTGCCTCTGAAGACTGCCCGGAAGCTTCAATTAGTCCAACGTGCGGCAGCCAGACTACTAACGGGAGCGGGGTACAGGGAGCATACTACTCCTCTGTTGCGCCAGCTCCACTGGCTGCCAGTCAGCTTCCGAGCACAATTCAAAGTGCTGGTCTTAACCTATAAAGCCCTAAACGACTCCGGCCCAATTTACCTGTCCGAACGTATCCTCCCCTATGAATCATCAAGATTGCTAAGATCGTCTGGAGGGGCCCTGCTCTCGATCCCACCGGCCTCACAGGCGCGGCTGGTGGGGACGAGAGACAGGGCCTTCTCGGTGGTGGCCCCCCAACTCTGGAACTCCCTTCCACTGGGGATCAGAACTGCCCCTTCTATCTTAACGTTCAGGAAACAGGTGAAAACTTGGCTTTGGGGATTGGCATTCGACGAATGAGCCATGATCCTGTGATATGGATGGATGACGACGAATAATGATTTTTGATGACGACTGACCACTGTAATTATCTGATTGTATTTTGCTATTTTAATGTTTTAGTGTGATTTAGAATATGATGTTTTAATGACTGTCTGTAATATTGATGTTGGAAACCGGCCTGAGTCCCTCGAACGGAGGTGAGAAGACCGGTATACAAAACTGCTAAATAAATAAAACTTCCAGGCCTCATTCAAAGGTCTGGCTTTAACCCTGAGGCCCCTTCCATACAGCTCTATAAAATCCACATTGAACTGCTTTGTGGAAGGGCCCTGAGTCCACACTGCCATATAACCCAGACCAAAGCAGATATTGTGGGATTTCCTGCCTGATATCCTGGTTCATATGGCTGTGCGGAAGGGCCCTGAGTCCACACTGCCATATAACCCAGGCCAAAGCAGGTATGGTGGGATATCTTGCCTGATATCCTGGTTTATATGGCTGTGTGGAACAGCCCTACACAGGCATGGGACTACAACTCCCATGCTCCCCAGAATGGGAGCTGCCTGCTCTCTTCTGGGCCTCATTCAAAGGCCTGGCAGTAACCCAGAGGTCCCTTCCACACAACTGTTTAAAATCCACATTGAACTGGATGATTTGGGGCACTTCCGCACAACCTTTTATCCCAGAATATCAAGGCATAAAATCCCACAATATCTGCTTTGAACTGGATTATCTGAGTCCACGGTCAGATAATGTGGGATTTTCTGCTTTGGTATTTTGTGATATAGAGCTGTGCGGAAGCGCCTATGGCCATGTGGACTCTGGACCCTTCCACACAGCCATATAACTCAGATTATCAAGGCTGGACACCCCACAAGATCTTCTTTGAACTGGTTTATCTCTTTTAGAAAGAAGCTCAAAACATGGTTTTGGGACCAGGCCTTTGGACAGTTGGTTTGGCAGTATTTACAGTGCTTGAACTCTGACAATGACAGGCTTTGGACTGAGTCATCAGTTGCTAAATCAAATTTGGACTTGGCTATATGATGAATATTGTATTTAATCCAGTGTTTTAAATATATTTTTATCTTATGTTTTTTTTCTCTTGTGTAATGTTATTGTATTTGTGTTCTAAGTCACTCTGAGTCCCCCTTCAGGGGTTGAGAAGGGGTTGAGAAATGCTGGAAATAAATAAATAATCTGAGGCCTCTTCCACACAGCTGAACAAAATGCCACATTATCTGTTTTGAACTGGAATACATGGCAATGTGGACTCAGATAACCCAGTTCAAAGCAGATATTGTGGGATTATCTGCCTTGATGTTCTGGGTCATATGGCTGTGTGGAAGGGTTGTGGGTTATATGGAAGTGTGGACTCAGATAACCCAGTTCAAAGCTGATATTGTGGATATGCCTTGATATCCTGGGTTCTATGTCTGTGTGGAAGGGCCCCTGGTTCAAAACAGATATTGGCCCCTTCCACACAGCTGTATAACATCCACATTGAACTGGATTACATGGCAGTGTGGATTCAGATAATCTAGTTCAAAGCAGATACTGCGGATTATTTACCTTGATATTCTGGGTTATTTTAAACAGAGGCTGGATGACCATCTGCGAGGTGTGCTTTGAATGTGATTTTCCTGCTTCTTGGCAGAAGGGGGTAGGACTGGATGGCCCACAAGGTCATCTTCTGTTCTTCTTGTAAAGGAAATTCCACTATCTAGCTCTTTTAGCAGATGAATGTACTCCTCTTCACATAAACCTGAGACCTCATGGGCCATCCAGTCAAGAAGCAGGAATATTGCATTCAAATCACCCCTGACAGATGGCCATCCAGCCTCTGTTTAAATCCTTAACAAGAAAGAACATTATTCATCTGTGAACATTACAGCCTCTTGCAAAGAGGAGTATATTCATCTTTATAGAAAGTAACAGGTATATCCATTATAGTGTGAATGCAAGTTTCATGTTTCTCTGTATATACTATACTTTATTAAGTGCTAACATTTTTGCATGAAATTATTTATATATATACACACACACACCACATACATATGTACATAAACACACACAGATATAGAACTGCAGCCATTTAAAATCCTAACGTAATTTTGTTCTAATGTTGAAATCCTTAATACTTGTTGTCACCAAATTTCCTGATTGATATTTAGATGCTTTCAACAGTCAATAGTTTTTTATTTGGAAGAAAGGAGGATAGATTTTTGTGTTACCCTTAGGTTTTAAACAAAACGATCTGTTTACATGTGTTGTGTGTTTGTCCTTTTGTGAGTAATGTTAGTTGAGTAAGTGGTGCCGATTTCCCACTGGTTCCTGCTTGCATGGCCCCTCTGGGCAGAAACTGTATTTTGAAAGACACCGTGTGACTCTGGGGCCTTCCACTCAAAATATCAAGGCAGAAAATCCCACAATATCTGCTTTGAACTGGGTTCCCTGAGTCCACACGGCCATACATTCCAGTTCAAAGCAGAAAATGTGGGGTTTTATTCAGCTGTTTGGGAGGGGCCTCTGTGAAAGGAGTAAGGTGGGACGTAGCCACGTATAAATATTGGAAAGGAGGCCATAAGAAAGATGAAGCAGGTTTTGTTTTCTGCTGCCAATAAAAACTAGGACTTAATGGAGCCATGGGTTCAAAGGATAGGAAAGGAGATTTCACCTGAACTTCCTGACTAAGAAGAGCTGTTTGATAATATTATAATGTGATACAATATAATACTACTAATAATAATGCAATAGTATAATTATATATTTTATATCACATATAATATTACTAATAATATTACAGCATAATCATATAGTAGGTAAAGGTTGCCCCCTGACATTAAGTCCAGTCATGTCTGACTCTGGGGTGTGGTTCTCATCTCCATTTCTAAGATGAAGAGCCAGCATTGTCCATAGACACCTCCAAGGTCATGGGACTGGTATGACTGCATGGAGCGCCCTTACCTTCCCGCCGGAGCGGTACCCATTGATCTACTCACATTTGCATGTTTTCGAACTGCTAGGTTGGCAGAAGCTAGGGCTGACAGCGGAAGCTCACTCAGCTCCCTGGAATTGAACGTGCAACCTTTCGGTCAACAAGCTTAGCGCTTTAACACACTGCACCACCGGGGGCTCATTATTATATAGTTTATATATTATATAATAATATAATATTTTATATTACATGTAATATTATTAATATTACAGTATAATCATATAGTATGATATAGTAATATATAATACTAATATTGTGCTATGGTAAGAATATAATATATTGTATTTACATATTACTTATAAGCCACTCTGAGAAGGGCTGCATATAAATGTCATAAATACATAAGTAATAAATTCAACCGTGGAACTCTCCGCCATGGAGTCTGGTGGAAGTTTCTTCTTTCTTTGGAGGCTTTTAAGCAGAGGGTGGTCATCTGTTGGGGATGCTTTGATTGTGCTTTTCTTTCCTAGCAGAAGGAGGACCCTCTTTGAGATCCCTTCCAACTCTCATTATTATGCCATGATTCTGTGATGGGAGCCTTTCCTTCCTCTTCCCTCCCGCAGGTGCTCTTGGCCGCTGCGGTTTGCACCAAGGCCGGGAAGGCCATCGTCTCACGCCAATTTGTAGAGATGACCCGGACGCGCATCGAGGGGCTGCTGGCGGCCTTCCCCAAACTCATGAACACCGGGAAGCAGCACACCTTCGTGGAGACGGAGAGCGTGCGCTACGTCTACCAGCCCATGGAGAAACTCTACATGGTGCTCATCACCACCAAGAACAGCAACATCTTGGAGGACCTGGAGACGCTGCGGCTCTTCTCCCGAGTGGTGAGAGTTGTGGGGACGTGAGGGGCGGGCCCAGGCTCATTCACATGGCGGGGAGGAAGCAATGTCCCTGCGGCTGGTCTTGAAGCCGTTCTGCTCCAGAGGAAGTCCTTGCTGGCATCTGCTGGGTTTATGGGACTTGGCAGGGAAGCGATGCAGAGAAGGCACCCATTCCACCTGTGTTTAATGGGGAGGAAACTCTCTCTTGTGGATTCATACATGATGTTGATTGCTGTAGTGAGAGATATAGAAGGGAAAGGAAAATGGTGGCTGCTTACTGTATATACTCAAGTATAAGCCTAGGTTTTCAGTCCTTTTTTTACGCTGAAAAGATCTCCCCTGGCTTATACTCGAGTCAAGGTTATTTATGATTTTACTTTGTTGTTATTATTACATTTATTATTTTATTATTGTTGTTATTTTTACATTTATTATTTTACTCTATTATTGTTATTGTTACATTTATTATTTTACTTTACTGTTATTACATTTATTACTCTACACTATTATTATTATTATTGTTATTATTTTACTCTATTTATTATTATTGGAAGGATATGTAAGCATATTTACATTGAAGAAGGTTACAATAATGGCTTAATCAGAATTGGACAGTCTTATCTTGAATTACAGTTTTATGTAAATATTCAAAAACGTTTAACCTACTGATGCCTAAATTAATATAATTTTATTGGTTTATTGGCATCTATTTTTATATAAACAAATTTACCAGTAGCATCTGCATTTCCCACCTTTGGCTTATACTCGAGTCAATACGTTTCCCCAGTTTTTTGTGGTAAAATTAGGTGCCTCGACTTATATTCGGGTCAGCTTATACTCGAGTATATACGGTATATTTTTAGAGTTTAAGAAAAGATAGCGTGTGTTTTAATGGTGTTCAACTAATTATTATTATTATTGTATGTCGAAGGCTTTCATGGCCAGAATCAATGGGTTGCTGTGAGTTTTCCGGGCTTTATGGCCATGTTCCAGAAGCATTCTCTCCTGACATTTCACCCACATCAATGGCAGGCATCCTCAGAGGTTGTGAGGATGCCTGCCATAGATGTGGGTGAAACTTCAGGAGAGAATGCTTCTGGAACATGGCCATACAGCCTGGAAAACTCACAGGAACACAATAATAATTCTTATTTATTTTCCACTTTTCTTTTCGGCTTAAAGCAGGTCACAACTGAAATGCGCCTGTACAAATGCAGATTGAAACATAGAATAAAGTGTGTCTATAAAATCCCTTTACTGTTTAAAGTCTTTTAATCATTTAGATTTAAATGGTAAAGAGACTTAATGAACACCCTGTACAACCATAAGAACAGGTATCAAAACATATGCATATTAAAATAAATGAGACAAAAGTCGAAACACAATAGACGGCCTGCTTGTATTCATACCTATTTCTGCTTGTGTAAAATTACTTGTTAGATATGTGTATTTGTAGACTGAGCAATCCAGCTGTGATTGCCGGGGTTCATGCAATCAATCTGACCGATCTTCCATAGGGATACTACTCCAAGGGTCCTCTTGAATGTGATATTTTGTTCTATCTATAATATAATATAGTACAATATAGTAATATAGTATATTGTATATACATATAATGTTTATAATATTATAATGTAATACAATATAATACTAATAATAATACAATATTATAATTATATATTTACATTACATGTAATATTACTAATAATATTACAATATAATGGTATAGTGCAATATAGTAATATATAATACTGATATTGTACTATACTAATAATATATTGTATCAAATTATATATTGTAAGCCACTCTGAGTCCCCTTCGGGGTGAGAAGGGCAGCATAGAAATGCCGTAAATAAATAAATAAATATTGTTTCTCTGGAAGACAGGTTCCTAAAAAGGAGGAATGCTCTGTCTCTTTATTTAGTATTATTTATTTTATTTACAGTATTTAAAAACATGGTTTTGGGACCAGGCCTTCGGGCAGTAGAAACAAATCTATGCAACATTTCGGAAAGACAATGACTGGAATGGCAATTCGACGGATGAGACTGTTTTACTGTTTTAATGATTGTTTACTGTTTATGGATGTATTTTAATTTGATTTATGTCTAACTGTAATTGTATAATTGTAATTGTTTGTGCTGGCATTGAATTTTGCCATTACCTATGTGGAAACCGCTTTGAGTCCCCTTCGGGGTGAGAAAAGCGGTATACAAATGTTGTAAATAAATAATAAAAATAAATATATCCCGCCTTTTTCAGCCCGAAGGCTACTCAAGGTGGCTTACAGTTGGCAGCAATTTGATGCCCCAGTAAACATAAAATACAGTTTAAAGGCATTTAGCTTATAATATAAAACTATACAAAAACCAATAAAAAACATACATCGTCAGTGTCTTCTTCCTAAACTCAGTTTCCAGTCGTTCTGTAGTTCCATATCACCGATTACGCTGCATTTGCAAAAGCTTGCTCAAAGAGCCGGGTTTTGATTTTTCTCTGCTTCCACCCAGATCCCAGAATACTGCCGAGCGCTAGAAGAGAACGAGATCTCGGAGCATTGCTTTGACCTAATATTTGCCTTTGATGAGATCGTGGCCCTCGGCTACCGAGAGAACGTCAACCTGGCCCAGATCCGCACTTTTACCGAGATGGACTCCCACGAGGAGAAGGTCTTCAGAGCCGTCCGGGAGGTAAGCCCGAGGCATCCTCCTCTGTGTCTCCCCTTCGCTCTGCCAGATTTCCTTTCCTGACGTTGGTGCATTTGACAAGGCTGAAGCGCTGTGTTCTGGGCATGATGGGAATCGACTAAGTGTCTCTTTCTGATGTTCAGACACAGGAACGTGAAGCCAAGGCTGAAATGCGGCGGAAAGCCAAGGAGCTGCAGCAGGCGCGCCGGGATGCTGAGCGCCGAGGCACCAAAGCGCCCGGATTCGGGGGGTTTGGCAGCTCTGCCGTCTCAGGAGGGACCACGGCTGCCATGATCACAGAGACCATCATTGAGACCGAGAAGCCCAAAGTGACTCCAATCCCATCCAGGTATGAAAGTGTCAGATTCCTAGTACAAGCAAAGTGGTTTTGGAGGGAGCTGAAGTGGACATCTACGTGGGGTTGCCTTTGAAGACGGTCCAGAAACTTCAATTGGTCCGACGAACAGCAGCCAGGTTGCTAACAGGAGTGGCTCTCGGGGAGCATACAACTCCCCTCTTACGCCAGCTCCACTGGCTACCGGTCTGCTACCGGGCCCAATTCAAAGTGCTGGTTTTGGCCTATAAAGCCCTAAACGGTTCTGGCCCAACTTACCTCTACGAACGCATCTCCCCTACGAACCATCACGGACATTAATATTGTCTGGGGAGGCCCTGCTCTCAGTCACAAGTATGGTTGGCGGGGACGAGAGACAGGGCCTTCTCAGCGGTGGCCCCTCAGCTATGGAACACCCTCCCCAAGGAGATTAGATCAGCTTCTTCGCTCCTAACCTTTAAAAAAAAACCTCAAGACATGGCTGTTCAAGCAAGCATTTGCAAATATTGAGTAATGGGCTTAGGAAAATGGAACAACTATACGATGATATTGGACAATGTTTTTATTGAGGGTTTACTGGTTTATGTTTTTACTGCTGTTGCTATGATTTTATTGTATTTGTATTCTGTGGCATTGAATTTTGCCTTGTAAACCGCCTTGAGTCGCCGTAAGGCTGAGAGGAGGGGTGGTATAGAAATAAAATAATATTTATTTATTTATTTATCGTGTCGGGAGCGAACCAAAACAAACAGACAGACAAACAAACAAAACACAAAGTTTGCAGACTTGGTATTCTATTAAATGTCCTTTGACCAGTCTCTGTCCCCTTGGAGTGTCTCTGGTTTAATAATAATAATAATAAAAATATTAATATTAAGAAATAAAAATATTTCACAACAACAACAACAACAACAATAATAATAATAATAAACTAAGCCATAGAATAAGAGTTGGAAGAGACCACATGGGCCATGTAGTCCAACCCCCTGCCTTGCAGGAAAAGCACAAAGTACCCCTGACAGATGGCCATCCAACTCTGTTTAAAAGCCTCCAAGGAAGATGCCAGCTCTGGATCCTTTGCTGGTGGGGTTTCTCTTGCTCAGTGGGACCACCACTGTACGGCGTAGGGAGAAGGAGAATGTTGCAGAAGGGCCTCTTTTTGGCTCCTTTCTGGCCAGCAAAGGACCTCTTCCAAAGGGCTCTCTATTGTCCTGTTCCATAGGCCATCTGGCTCCAACAAGGCACTCAAGCTTGGTGCCAAAGGGAAGGAAGTGGACAATTTCGTGGACAAGCTGAAATCTGAAGGAGAGAACATCATTGCCTCTTCGATCGGGAAACGCTCCTCGGACGCAGCTGCGGTCCTCGCTCCGCCCGTCAACATGGAGAGGTGAGGAGTGCGGAACCCTGAGCGGCCAAGCAAGGGGGGGCAGGGGGGCTTATGGGAGGGAGGCAGGCCTGGGGCACCTTCTTGCTGTCCAGCGGCCAAACTGACGGGGCTGCTGTGACCCTGCTGCTCCCCTCCTCAGCGTGCACATGAAAATAGAAGAGAAAATCTCCCTGACCTGCGGCCGAGACGGGGGCCTCCAGAACATGGAGCTGCACGGCATGATCATGCTGCGGATCCTGGACGAAAAGTTTGCCCGGATTCGCATCCATGTTGACAACGAGGACAAGAAGGGGGTGCAGCTCCAGGTAGGTGGGACCCCAAGGCTTTGGCCTGTTGTCCATCCTCCAAGGGCTGAGCCCTCCTAGCTCTGCTCCACTCCCAGGAAAGTCCAGCCTCTCTTTCTAGGGTCAAGAGGGCAGGGTGCCTTTCTCTTTGCTCTCACTCAGTGCTAAAACTGGCCTGTGGCCGGAGGATCCGTTTAGGGATTGGTTGCCCACTTTGGGAGGAAGATCCAGGGCTCTACTTTGCCTAGAGCAGCCTTTCTCAACCTGGGGGTCGGGACCCCTGGAGGGGCCACCAGGGGGTGTCAGAGGGGTCGCCAGGGGGTGTCAGAGGGGTCGCCAGGGGGTGTCAGAGGGGTCACCAAAGACCATCAGAAAACACAGTATTTTCTGTTGGTCATTGAGATTCGGTGTGAGAAGTTTGGTCCAATTATATTGGTGGAGTTCAAGGCACTCTTTGATTGTAGGTGAATTATAAACTTGCTGACCAAAAGGTTGGCAGTTTGAATCCAGGGAGCGGGGTAAGCTCCTGCTGTTAGCCCCAGCTTCTGCCAACTTAGCAGTCCGAAAACATGCAAATGTGAGTAAATCAATAGGTATCACTTTGGAGGAAAGGTAACAGTGCTTCATGCAGTCATGCCAGTGGTCACATGACCTTGGAGGCGTCTACAGAAAACGCTGGCTCTTCAGCTTAGAAATGGAGATGAGGACCACCCCCAGAGTCGGACATGACTGGACTTATTGTCAGGGGGAAACCTTTACCTTATCATAACACATATTAAATAATAATATAATAGTATGCCATCGTATAGGAATTATACAGTATAATAATATAACATTATAATATTCTAATTTACTATGTGATATAGTATAATAGCAACACAATTTAATAATATAACAATGTAACATAATATTCTAATTTGCTATAATAATATAGTATATTATAATAACTATCTATCTATATATATCAAAATGCTCTGAGCATAATG